TGCATCCGGAGTTAGTTTGACATGAGGCACATCTTCATTGCCAACTTCTAGTGCACATACCAACGCTTGGCAACTCATGGGACCTCAAGAACTGTAAATAGAACCAAGCGAGACACTCAAGAAGTACATTCAATGCTTCTAAAAGAGGCGTTATCAATGAGACCATAGATATCTTTGAGGCTAGGATCATTTACCATTCACCAGTGCATGCTATACCAACTTGTCCCTCATGCAACTCAGATGCAAGTGCCTACAAAGTACCTAGGAACTCTAGGATATTACTACCAATCATGCCTCAAGAGAGGGTGATATCTTTGGTAACTTCAATGGAGACAAGGGCAAGGGCAAGGTGAAACAACAAGAGACTATGGATGACAACAATGATGATCCCCATAGAGGAAAGGAAGAAGCAAGAAGCGTAACTACAACCAATTTGTAGGAGTGCATCATTGCCTGGCTCAGCCATCCCAAACTAGATGAGTTTGAGAAGCTCATGTATGATCCAAAAAAGAATCATCACTATTTGGTGAAGCATGTATACGAGGACTATGACCTGTTGAATATGTATTTCAAGTGGGAGTTAGACCTGTTGACATGAAGTGGTATGATCCCCTAGTAGGTAACGATGACAAGGGTTCCCTATCACTAATGACTGCCTCATGTGTTCATAGGCTACAACACCTTTGTGAGGTCAACACGGTGCAACCGGCCATGCCGGGCTAACTCAAGTGGTCTAAGGCTCCGATCACCTCGATCACTTAGACCACCACAACTATGTTCGTCAACCGAGTTATTTTCCCCTAATGGATGACCCGATAGTTGTGACCAAGCTTCTCTGCAAGGTACTTATTAATGATGGCAATGGAATCAACATCATGTTCATCGAGATGCTCGATGGCCAAAATATCTCATGCTCGGGGATCTTACCGACTAGGGCATTGTTCATGGGGTTGTCCTAGGAAAATAGGCCAAACCACTTTGTTAGATCATCTACCCATCACATTTGGCAATTGCACCAACTATTAGTCAGAGACACTCACCTTCGAGGTGGTCGATTGCCCCAACATGTATCACTCCATTTTGGGACGACCATGCTACATAAAGTTCATAACCATCCCCAACTAGTGATAGTTCAACCTGATGCATACGCCTTTGATACTATATCTTTTCTTGTAGCTTCTAAGAAGTCACTTGTCTTGGTTGGTATCTTGGACATATATATATACACCTATTATGTATGCCTTTGATACAACATCTTGTCTTGTAGAATCTCTGTGGGTGTGTTTCCCACACTCCACTGCCTCTCAAAGAGCCACGAGTAGTGCTGAGAGTTCATCATCTGTTGTGCCAACTCGGAGCAATGCTATAGCTGACAGGAAGAAGCAGCGGACTATTGTGAACACGGTGCAGGCCATCCAAGACTGGAAGGAGGACGCTGATGATGTTCCCCTAACCTAGAGGACAAGGAGAAGAAGGGTTGCGTGTGGGCCAGAGCAGGGAGGCTCTAGCTAATAGGTACCAACATTGCGGTTGACAACGACTTAGGAAACTCTGGGTTGAGTGCCAAGCCCCTAGGTGGGGACCATACTACCTAGTGAGTGGTGCAAATGCCAGGGTCTTCTTGGTGTAGAAAAATTATGGCTTAACCTCTACTTGTTGGCCCGTAGTCTCAGCTCTAGTGAGGACTTGTCGGGTGAGCCAGTTCGGGTCTAAATGCAGCTAGATCTGAGCAATCCTCTGAGCCCATTGTTGAGGAAGCGCCAGTGCCATCTTTGCCATGCCAAGAAACACCATCACTGAAATAGACGTCGGCCCCGTTGTAGCAACCATCTGCCCCTCAGCCCAAACCATCATCGAGGGAACAACAATAGCACCAATGACAATAGTGTTAAATACTTAGACTTTTCGAGAGAATAACTGTTTTAATTAATTTTACTGATAATGGAATGTTTATTAAAACTTCCAAAAATATAAATCTGATATAAAGTCTTAAGTTATATGGAAAACTTTCAAATAAGGAGCTATCTATATATATAGTTGGAGATACAATGTGCTTTCCTCAAGAAGATAGTGGGAACAAATGCTTTCTTTGAATAAATATAAAAGCAGATGATTCGATGGTTTCCTCCGTGTAAAGAGATAAATATGCTAGCTAACTTGTCCCCTCAGCTCCCAGGATGCTCGAAGCTTTCTTGGACCATTGTCCTTCATTCATCTTTTTCTTTTTGGAGCGTCTTCTTTAGCAGCTCATCTCTTGCTTCCATAAAACACAAATTAACTACTATAGAATACTCACCATCGCCGGTTCCTAACCCATTAATTTTTACCATGGGTTTCACGTTTTAGTGGCGAATTTTGGGTGATGATGAAGAACTTCAATTCATCACCATCGTATTGAAACCAGTGATGAAAATCGAACATATAGTGGTTACAAGAGCCTCAGTAGCACCTCAGGTCCTAGATTCGATTCCCCGTGAGAGAAAATATGTAACGGCGTTTGTGCTTTCAGTGGTAGGCGACATTCCCGTTGACATCGAGGCGCCTGTGATGACTTCATCAATCACGAAAATTTGTCGGTCCAATCTTCGAAGATGGTCATAGGGGTAAGGTTTGCGTGCGTGCGTTCCTAGAGGTGAGTGTGCGCGCGTTGTGAGTGTTTGAGTTGTATCGTGTAATCGCAAAAAAAAACCTAGAAAAATGAGGACACACCCATATCCAGCCACTCCCGTCGTGCTCCTGCTATCGGTCCGTTCCGTGTCGCGCATGCTTATGCTTCTGGCCTATGCTTCGGTCTACTTCTAACCCGTGTTGTTGTTCACATATGAACTCACACTGGTTACACTCTAGCTTCTATCGTGGTGAGAAAGACATGGACGGAGAGCGAGGAGTTAAGATCAGTGGTGGTCGTTGAAGGTGACGCCATCGATGACGGAGAAGGCCGGGTTGTGTGGCGTGGTGGCCTCATGTGGGCGGCATGAGACCCTCGCGTAGGATCTTGTTGGCCCGGGGCGGTAGAAGAATCTTGTGGGCGATCTCACGGAGGTGGTAGGATCTCGTCGAGCGGAATCTCAGGCAGTGCAAATGGATGGTAGTTGGCGGAGGGGGGAGGTGGAGGCGAGTGGGTAGTGGCAGATGAGCGGAGACATAGTTTTTTGAGGGAAGGGGGTAGGAGGGAAGGAGGTGGAGCTGTGTATCATGACTTATAGAGAGAGATGTGACAGAGGAGATGCATGTCGATCTGTGAGAAACCCTACTAGTCATGTTTTATGTGTATATATTTTCACTGTCGGTTCGTGGCTGGAATCGGTGGTTTAAACCTTCCTAAATTTCATTGCCGGTTCTATTACGTACTGCTAGCGATATATTATCACCAATAGTTTTAATAGACCCGATTGTAAAAATGTAGGCTGTTATGGTCATCCATAAGTCACAAATTTGTTACTAGAAGAGCTATGACTGGAAGAAGAGGCAGCTTGTTAAGATGCCCTATGCTCTACTTCGACTAAACCTTTGTTGTAGCGGCAACACGTCCTGCATCAGATGCCAATGCCTACGCCGAGCATGCATGCATGTACGCGTGTATGGAATCATCCACCACAGGAAACAAGTCACGACACTGCAAGAGGAAGAAACACAGGGAGCACTCGCATAGCATTTATGTGATGCTTGCAGCGGGAGCAGGTGATGAGTACCTTGTGCTTGTTCGAGAACGGCGCCACCGCGGCCCTCGCGTGCGCAGGTGTGCTCGGCGTCGGGGACCTATCCTTGAAGCCGAAGACCGCATGCTCTCTGGGCACGCCGACGCGGAGTCACCAGACTCTTCTCTGTGCCGCCGCCTCTACCGGGGTGTCACTGTGCTCCCTTGACTTTGGGCTCAAGAATGGAGGATTCATTACCAAGGCCACTGCTGGGATCAATGGGGCGCTAGGCCTCACCGAACTGCTGGTAAAGGTGGCCTGCAAGTTGGATATGATGCGGCTCGTGGATCTCTTCCCGCTTCCATGCGCTTCACATCAAGATCGGCTTGCATAGCGAAGGCATGGATCGAGTAGGCCTGACGCTTCTGGGAGCCGTCGACATCGGCGATCGTCCCTACCAAACCCTAGCGGGCCGTGGAGTTGCAGTTTGGAGTTGGTGGCGCGAGGATTACGATACAGGTAGATCGATGGCTGCGTCGGCATTCAAGCAAGAGAGAAACACGTGTAAAGGATAAAAAGTTTTTCGGTTGGATCCGTTTGTTAAATCACGGTGGGTGATTTAGATGCGTTGCATATAATTTTAAAGTAGATATAAGGGACACGAATTAAGATGGGTAGAAAATATCAGGTGAGAGAATATTTCTATTTCCTTCATTCTTTTAGAGTATAGATAAGACAAGATACAATTGCACTGAGAACCCTATCTTTTCTCTTTATTTTTTCCACGTCCTTTCACCTCCACATTGGTTGATTGGATACACGCGCATCTTTTGGCGCGATTTCATCAATTTTCCCAAATGTAGAAAGATTGGTAGTTGAGATAAGAAGTTGTTGGTGAGGGTTTTTCAGTCTTGACAAAAAAAAAAAAAGAATAAGAGTGGGTTTTGGAAACTCTTGAAGATGCTCTAAGTTGCTATATATATACTAAATATGCAAATCAACTACTACATACAGAAACATAAGTTTCTATCAAGTAAATGTTTTCAAAATATACGCACCATGCGTGTTGTTTTATATCAAGTAAATTTTACTGAAAATTGACATTCTATACAAAATTATATCTCTCATTTTAAAAAGAGAAGGAAAAACTGCACAGGACACGGGTAGAGCTGACAGCAGCAAAATTGGGCCGTCACTGGTTACCAGAAACCAAAGGCCCAGCCTGGACTGGCCCAATCTTCTGTCATCTAAACCCTTGGCAACCCTTGCCCAGACGACCGAGCTCCCTTCACCAGAGCTCCGCCTTCCGGCGGCGCCGCCCTCCATCCCTCTCCGCCTCCGCTCTCGCACAACCACAGATCGATGGCGTCCAGCTCTAAGCTGAGCCATGCCGTCCCGGTCGCCAACACTGGCGCGCCGGCGACACTGCCCGCCGACGCGCTGTTCGAGGTCCTGCTGCGCCTCCCGGCCAAGGACATCTGTCGCCTCCGCGCCGTCTGCCGGTCCTGGCGCGCCCTCACCTCGGATCCTCACTTCGCCGCGGAGCACAAGTCCCGCCACACGGAGCCCTTCTTCGCGGTCACATTCAGGGACGGCGACGTCAGTGGCGTCGCCATCGTGAGCCTGTCGGGGCAGATTCTTAGGCGGATAAGCTTTGCCTCCGATCGCATCGAGTTGCTGCTTACCCACCTCGACCGCCTCTGTGTCATCAGGATGTGCAAACCCTCGTTGGCTGCCTGGGTTCTCAACCCGGCCACCGCAGCTCACCTCACTTTGCCGGGTCTCCATTCAGATGAATTTGTGGGCAGTTGCATAGAGCGGAGATTTGATTTTGGTTCTTATGTCACGCACAACTGCAAGACGGTCACATATGCTTTTGGACAGGTTGCTTCCACAGGAGACTACAAGGTACTCCGCATCAGCCATCCCCATCCTGATAACTCGCAACCTCAGCTATGTGACATCATCACCCTTGATGGGAGTAGTCAGGGAAGGTGGAGGAGAAAACAGAACCCACCCAGGGACCTTTGTAGAGAAGAAATCGTGGAATGCTTAGCTGTCAATGGGGTTGTGCATTTCTTCTTTGATTATGGTCTTATGGAACCAACCAGCATAGCTCCATTCAACCTCGATACGGAAAAGTGGATGCCAACACTTCGGGGTCCAGAGCCATTGCGAAGTGCTAAGTTTGGCTTCATCTATGAGCGAGCGGTCTCATTAGCCAACTTAAATGGCAGCTTGGTTATAGTTGACAATGATTTTGGTATCTCTAATCACGACCTATGGTTTATTGTGGATCACAAGAGAGGTCTTTGGGTTAAAAAGTACAGCTTAAGTGTTGAGCAGATTTGTGACTATGCACGTCCTTTACTGATATTGGATGATGGGAGGATAGTCGTTTTCGATATGGTAAAGAGATTGTTACAATGCTATGATCCAACAACTGGCAATTTAGCAGATGTGTTGGATTTTGGGGCGATCGGACTTGCAGAATCTCAAAGCATTGCGGTTTACACAGGAAGCCTGTTGATCTAGGTTCTCGCTTCTACCGATGAGTTTGGTATGTTTGTTTTATCTAGCATTCAAAACTTTATGAGGTAGCATTGTGATGAATGCTCCAGTGAAAACTTACATTTACTTAAAATATGTCACATTGTTCTGTTGTTGATTATTCTATGTTCTTGGTATGCCTGTGAGTCGTTGATATACTTTACAAATTTAAATGTATGGGCGGCACTCGAACCTTTTAGGAGCGTCATCTAGATCTGTAAACTTTGAAGTTGCAGGTTGAAATGTGTCATCTAGGTAAAAAAAAATGCAAAATAGAAAAATACCCTACTGTTGTCAATATGGTGTGCCAGCGTGGGTATTTTTTATGGGTGAGCTAGAAAAATAGACTTTCAAAATGGAGCTGTCTTTTTCTCATTTCTTCTTCACTTTTGAGTTGGTTAGGAAGATATCTCCATGGAGGGACACCAGTTAATTGACTAAAGGGAAGCTTTCTGCACTTAGACCTAGATAACATATTTATTAACAATGGGTTTGAATATGAATCCAGCTTGGCTCCTTATGGCTCGTTGAGATAATGAGATAGCCTGGCTAGGCTCAGCTAATTTAGCTCACAAGCCAGCTCGTTATCACTTGTTAGCAGGAGGTAGCTAATTTAGCTCACAAGCCAGCTCATTATCACTTCTTAGCAGGAGGTTGATCCTCTGATCCAGATCCTCTGACTCTACAGCTGACTTTAGCTTTGAACTGTTTCTCATATCCAACACCTACGAATCAGTCTTCCCCTCTCATCTCCTTGGACACCTCATGTCTCAAGCTGTGGTGGCAGTGCTGGATACTGATTTGTCACAGCTAGCTGCTACATAGCTCAAGCAAAGCTCTGATGATCTGGAACTGGAACCCTTATTGCTATTTAGATTCCAAATCATGATAAGCACAGAGGATTCTTTAGTTCTGTTCTTGTTTGATTTGGGCAAGAATACCATCATATTCTGTTTCATCAAGCGACCACTGTACTAATCACTAACGAGCACTTACATCAAATCATCCTTTCAATTTCCTCACATTCGAACACTTCAATGGGAACTGGCACTTCCGAGTCAAATTGATGGGCAACTTTTAAGTTATCAAAAAAAAAAAATGCTGCGCAACTTCGTAGTCACAGTGCTCTAATTAATGCTCCAAATCATCATCATAAGACCACACAAGAGATTGACAAGGACAGCCGGCAGGTGGTGGCAGCTTGCGTGCAGATGAGCAAGGAGGCGGAGGGTGCAGCAATGGTGGTGACCCATTTTGCATTAAAACGTTGCAAATCAAATGAAGAACTGCTGAATGAGTAGGAGTAGATCATCGGAGTTCTGTTCGAATGGGTTGGGCTGGATTGATTAGGCAGGCACGGCCTTCCTTGGCATCTACTGAGAGGGCTAAACTAATTAATGATATCCTTATTTAGCTAATTATGCTTTGGGATTTGTGTAGTTTTTAGAAAAAGGTCTACCAGAGCACTTCTCTTTTTTTATTTGTTGGTTCTAATAAATGATATACAGTTTACACAAGAAGCCTGTTGATTTAGGGAGTCACTTGTGCTAATGAGATTTGTGTGACTATTATTTGGTTTTATTTGGTACCATGAAGACATTATATTAGTCTATTTTGTACTCCTATGAGCTGTCTCAGGCTCATGTTTTTATTGATTGTGTAAAAAAGAAGATTTCTATACTTTTGGTAAGCTGTTTTGGGACTCCTGTTAGTGAGCTAAAAGAAATTCTGTCTTCTGGGGTTCATACTTACCTCTGGGTCTCTGCTTGCCTGTTATTCAAGCATGCCATTTCATGGTGAAGAAGGTATCTGAAAGCATTGTTGGCACTGCCTCTTTGCCTTGTAAAATTGGAAGGATGAAAATCATGTTGTCGTGGATAAAGATTAGGATTTGCCCTGGTAATGTCAATCTTATTTGTCACAATCGTATCTTTAACAAAGTTTCCATGATGTTTGATCCCGTAATTTTTATGGGTCCTATAGCCATTGCCACAGCTATTTGGTACCTGCCTTGGCAAATGGCAATGAAAGCCTATGCTCGCAAAGCAAAGCTAGAGCCGAAGAAGGCCTTGTGAAAAACCCGACAGAAAAAAAACAAAACTTGACCTTGCCTGTGGTCTGAGACGTCAGACTTGGGGCCCGCGCTTGCCCCCTAGAGTGACCCCACAAGCTCATGGCAAAACTAGCTATTAGGGGAGATACAAAACCTATTTTGGGGATTTTGCCTAAAAATTCTCTAGCGAAGGAGAAAAAAAATGTTTTGGGAGAGATGAACCCTTCTCTCTAGCGGAAAAGGATTGATTTCTTTCCCCAATTTGTTGTTTTCCCCACCTGTCGGTCAAAGGAATGTGTGATTTCTTCCCTCGCTCAGCTCCCATTCTCTCTCTCGCCCGCCCAGTGCTTCCTCCCCCACCGGCGGTGCTTCCTCTCCCCTGCCGGACGCCGCCTTCCTCTCCAGTCTCGGCCAACTCCTCCTGGTCGGACTCCTCGCCTCGCGCACGGCTCCTTGCAGCGGACCCTAAACTCCTCCCGGTCGGACTCCTCACGCTGGACGGCGGCTTGAGCTTGATGAAGCATGCCTCCACCGAGCGCGGGCTCCTCCGTGCGAACGCTGGGATCAGATCCAGCGGCATCCATCTCCACCACCGCGCCTCACGCCTCTCGATGCTCCTCCAGCACCGTGGCTGTCCTCGCCGAACCCATCCCCGACGGCGGCGCCTCATCCACCTCGACGACGGTTGCTCGTGAAACTTCATGCCCGCCAAAACTGCAAGGTATGCGGGGTGATTTGCGGGGAGGGGTTGTTCCCCTTTTTTTGAGGGGCGGAGGGCTGGTTTTGAGGGGGATGAGCATTTTTTTCTCATTGGGGATTGGATTGGAGATCTACTGGAACATGTAAATCCCTCAAACTATAGGTTTTTCTCATTGGGGATGTGGATGAGGGAACTGCCGGAGATGCTCTGAATCGAGCAAATGAAGTTGTAGGATGTTGGGGGCATAGCAGCAGAACGCATCATTATTACCCGAAGTAGAGCTGAGGAGTCCAATTCTAAACGAATAGGAGTTACTGTTTCCGAAGTAGAGCCGAGTCCTCCAATTCTAGACGAATAGGAGTTACTATTTCCGAATTAGAGATGAGCAGTCCAATTCTAAATGGATAGGAGTTACGATTTTGGTGAAAATCCGAGGTGGAGTTACTGTCTTATATTTGATTTGTACTAGCAAAAATGATTGTATGTTACAATGGGGATGTATAATTTGTTTGCAGTGTATATATATAGATAGTAAACACCCCGTGCCTCGCTAATGGTGAGAACTATATAGACATCTCAGGCTGTCTTCAACGAAAGACCCATTAGGAGACCCAAACCTAAAATGGGTCTCCAGTGGAATGCCCATAGTCTCCAATAGAGTACCTATATGGAAGACGCATTTTAGATGTCAGGAGAGGTATAACCCAAATCTGAGTATTCTTTCTCCTGGAGACCCATTTACTGAAAGTGTCCTCTTTTGGGTCTTGTTGTTGTTGAAGACAAAAAATGGATATTGAACTCTTTGGCTGTAGCGATACCCAAACGTGAAATGGGTCTTGTGTTTTGAGTAACGATTGTTGGAGACAGTCTTACTACGCTATCATGTAGCTAACACGTATATAAATTGTTTTAGCCTATGTGTCTTGCACTTGCCTAGTTTGGATAGTTTGGGTTTGGGTCAGATTGGAAGAAAATATTGAGTCAAAAGTCTTTGGGAAAATGGTGTTCTTGCCCCTGTCCAGCAGTCCAATTGTGATTTTGCCCTTGTTTTTTCAACTTTGTGATTTTGCCCCTGTTATTTTAAAACGAACCATCCGTTTGCCCCTGGTTTGGATGTCTGTTAGATGGACATGGAATAAATAAATTTAAAAAAATCAAAATCCACAAAAGCAGAGCAAAAAAGACCATGTTGCCCCTCATCTTATCTTCAACCTCCTGCTCTGTCCCACGATCCCATGCGCGCTAATTGGCGCGTTGTCTTGAAAGTGGCGCTTGTCAGCGGGTAATGGCCTTCATACGGGTCCTTGTTGCGGTTGGATGAATATTGTCAAAAGAAGAGAAACAAGGCACGGGCGGGTGGCGCGGCGCTGGCCGCTGGGCCACGCTGCTGGGCTCGGCACTGCACGACGCCTTGTGCATGCGGCTGCGCCGTCATGGGCGCAAGTGCTTGTAGGGCTGCGGCACCCTCTCTTAGGCGCTTGTGATGAGGAATGCAGCAGGCGCCCGGCGCGATGCTTGGGTCAAGGCGCGAGCGTGCTGAGCAGCCGCCATGAGCACAAAGCTCACAGGTCATGCCCGCCCATGTCGCTTAGTATCTTGCGAAAGCGTCAACTGGTGTGCCATGTGGCTTCAGCGCAAAACGCAAGAGCAGCAGCCGAGCAGCGGGGCTTAGTGCGGGCGTCAGGGTGCTCTCGTTCGCGTCCTCGGTGGCCGCGCCATGGCCGGACGGTCGACCCCGCGCCACGCGCAACCGAGCCTCGGCCAGACAGGGGCAAAATCACAATTAGACATAAAAACAAGTGGGAAAATCGCATGGGCATTCATGTCTTTTGTACAAAGTTTAACACCGTTAGGGGTGGATGACGGAGCAGGGGCAAACCGGTGCTTCGTGAATGGCACAGTAGGGATAAATTCACAAAGTCAAAAAAATAGGGGCAAAATCACAATTTCGATACAAAACAAGGGTACAAACGCAAGAGCCCCAAAGTCTTTGGTCCACACTGACGGGTCATGTTTTTGTCTATTCAAATGTGCAAGGAAAATGACACCTGGCATAGGCTATTAGTTGATTTTGGTGTTGGATGAACAACATGACCATTTAGAATAGCAACTCCAACAGATTGGGAAAATGTATTTGTGAAGCCATTTATAGCTATTGTGCTCAAAAACACATTTCAACAGCTTTCCTATATTATTTTCCATTTTTCCCAGCTGGCTATCCCACCATACTCG